TACCGAGTTTCCGTGCAACGGTGATCAAGACACGGCGTCAAATGAACGTTGGCGTTGTTTATTAGCATATTCAAACCAAACAAAATACGGTCCAATGCATTTTCCAAAAGAGCTTTACCTGAAAAAGATATTCGAACGCGTTATTCGTCTTACCTTGAGCACTTTTCATTAACAAAAGCGAGCAAACCGCGCACCCGCGATAGAATCGAATCAGGTTATTCCGCCATATTGTTTGTTTTTTTCCTCTTTTAGCGCCGGAAATCGACACCAGTCAGAAAATTACGTCATTTTAGCTCCTTTGACTCCACGTGCACCGTCTCCGGACTCGGTGCTTCGGAGCTTGACTCCGAAGCCCCGGAGCACTGATCTCTATGACAATTGCTGGATCGCGCTTCCCCGCTTGTTCGCTGCAGCGCAAGTGAAGCCACCGGACTTCACTCGATTGGGATACGATTTGCCGTTTTTGCTAGCCTTTGCTGCGGTTTTCCAGCGTGCTGTAGACATGTTTTCTACACGTTCGTCGTCATTCGCCAAAGAGGTTTTTTGAAGACTCTGTGTATCGTTGAGACTTGCCGTTGTGAACACGTGGAAAATTTTACGAAAGTGCAGTGTCGCAGGAAAAAGGCACAACGTGTCGAAAGGAAGGGCTGGCGGCGTGTTCAAAGCTTCCTTGGCACGCCGAAGTGCCGTGTCTCTGTGCCTTCGCACGCTTGGATACCGACCAAGAACCGACGCCGTGTGCATGTGTTTAGCGAGTGCAATGTGCGTGAAGTTGTTCGTGCCTCTGGATCAGCGTCTTTTCCCCTCGCGGTTTAGGAACGAGCTTAATCCAGCGTCCACTAGCGACGGAAGATGGGGGGAAGGTACGTCTTTTTTTCGTCCTTAGACGATTTACACAATACCGTGCACAACAGCTCCTCATCACTGATCAGTGCTGGCTTATTATCAACCGACTTAATTGCACTTGACGTTTGAGCGCGGCTCGCCTAATTGTAATTGGTCAACAGATTGCACACGACCATATCGGCCGCGCTTCAAAGATTTTCATTCTCGCCGTCTTGTACTTTTGCTTTCGAAAACCCCCCTGGCTCCACAACGTTGCCCTATTCGTGCTCCCACGGAATCTATTAGAGGAGATTTGGGACATAGCCATGGTTAATATAGTACATAAGAACACGTACACATCTCCCCCTTTTATTGATAGCAACTCACCGGAACAGCTGGACGATCCAGAACTCCGTGGCCGATATATATAAATGATCTAAAGGCATCTACGCGCGACACACGTTCAGAACTTTGGCGCGGCGTCAATTCTTGACCGGTATCCAAGCGTGCGAAGGCACAAAGATGCATCACTCGGCGTGCCAAGGAAGCTTTGATCACGCCGCGACACCGGCGACACGTTTTCGACGAGTTGTACCTTTTGATATGGCTTCACGCACATTGCACTCGCTAAACACATTCACACGGCGTCGGTTCTTGGTCGGTATCCAAGCGCGCGAAGGCACAGAGACACGGCACTTCGACGTGCCAAGGAAGCTTTGAACACGCCGCCAGCCCTTCCTTTCGACGCGTTGTGCCTTTTTCCTGCGACACTGCACTTTCGTGACATTTTCCACGTGTTCACAACGGCAAGTCTCAACAATACACAGAGTCTCAAAACACTTCCTCGGCGAATGACGACGAACGAGTAGAAAACGTGTCTACAGCACGCTGGAAAACCGCAGCAAAAGGCTAGCAAAACGGGAAATCGTATCCCAGCGGGGTTGCGTCCGGTGGCTTCACTTGCGGGAGCGGCAAGCGCGATCCAGCAATTGTCATTGAGATCAGTGCACCGGAAGTGACTTTTGGCCGTCCAGTGGAAGGAGTCAGTGACTCCCATAGAGATCATACATACTAACTAGGGGTGTCGCGAACTTTTATCGCACCAGATTTTTTGGTCGAACTTTCGGGGTTCGACTGGGTCGAACCGGTTCGACGAACCTTCGAACTTTTCACCAGTTTTGACCGGTTCGACTTTGTGGACAGTGTGGCCAGACCTTGATACAAGCATGTCTAGGTTTGGAGAATTTCTTTTTTTATGCAAAAGGTTATTTTATTGTGTGACAACTGCAATTAAAAGAAACTAATTCTATTCACTGAAGAAGTTAATAACTTAAATTTTAGTACTGTATTGACTGAAATAGCCGATCAGCGCTGCACTTATTTCATCTCTTAGCCATTACCATCCAATCCGAAGCCAACTGGCCAGCCTGTCGCGCATGCGCACACGAGTCGAACCTCAATACAAGGTTCGACGAACTTTCCACTAAAAGTTCGAAAAAGTCGAACCTGGTCGAACTCGAACCGCGGCCGGTTCGCGACACCCCTAATACTAACTCTAGAGGAAAAGGTCCACCATTTTCCCATACATTCTGGCTGCCGCAAGCGGCGGAGCATGCAGGCAGACCCTCGGGGTCCCACATGGTTACCAACTGCCTTCGATTTCACAAATATATCATCAGAGCAGTGTCATGAACTTCAACAAACCATGAACTTACCGGTGGAAAGATATTCGCGTTCCTTTCGAAGCTTTCTTTTTGAATAGCGCACAGACGTACGGCCTCGCGTCAACGCTAAACTAAACCAGATACCCGGCTTCGCCGGTGGGCGCGGGTGGGCGCGGTTGATGAATACGAAACCGCGCAACTGCCAGATTTCCGAGATTTCGACAGAAGGGAAGTTAATGCAGCGTAAAGACTATATTGTTTTTTATAAGCGTTAGAATAGCTCAGAATTTAGTTTACAACGTTAAATTATCACTGTTGATATTCCTGAGAGTTTTCAGTCTTCGCGTTTACCATTGCGACTGTCGTCCTTCAGCTGGCAACGTTGCTTTCTTGCTCTAGTGTTCTGTCGCTCTCTTTCGCGATCTTTCACTCGGGACCCCGGGTGTCGGCGCACGGGATTTGCCACTCCTCCTCACCCACCTTTACCCCCCTGGTGACTCCTTGACTCCGGGGCCGCTACTGAACGCGCCCATTGGAAACACGCGCGCGCCCAACGTCCACGTCTTTTTTTTTTCACCGCAAATAGTGAATTTTGTCTTGACAGAAAATAAAGGCAGTCCTGTTTGGAAGCTGTTTGAAGCTGAATTTGTTTTCCTTTGCGGAGCCCATTTATTCGACGGCCCCCTGAGCTACCTACACGCACTCAGCACCACCCTCTCCTCCAAAAGTTCGCCGTTGGTAAAGCCCTCGGTAGCGTCAACTGCGCCACTTCAGGAGGCACATGCCTCATGCAGCCCTTGGAATCGATGCACTGAAATGAGCGGCCCTTAGAAGCGAAGGGCGCTGGAGCACTCGCTCGTGGCATTTGTCTTACGCGTTCTCAGAATAGTAAATGGCGGTGCTTGTAAGAAAAGTCAAGTGTGAGTTTTATCAAGTCGCTTTACCTTCCCCAAGTTCCGAGCGCCACATATTTTGAGAGGGCTGCTACAGGCCTTGAAGTGAGGATGGCGCTTCGAACGACAGGTGGCGGCCTTGAGATAGCGAAGAGGGTGTCGCTTCTCCGCGAGATTTCCGCAACCGAGTTGATCCAGTAACGTTATGCAATAAACAAAAAAAAAGTGTTCTGGTAATGTGGATTACAGAAAAGAGAGGGCGGGATTGAAGACCAGAATGCTGCTCGATCTAACCGCGTCTAACGTGTTTTTTTTTTTTTTTGCTTTTTTTTTTTTTTAGTTTAACGATTTTTATTTGTTTTTTTTAATATTTTTAGTGAGGCGTCCACTGGTCCGAGGGCGTCCCTCATCCTGCTGGCTATCGGCACCCTGGGCTACGCCTCCTGGAGCCACCAACACTAGCAGAAGCGGTGACCAACCGCAGCGTAACTCGGAGTATCCGTTACACGAAATATATGCTCTATCGATTAAGGATTCATTCTGATGTGTGCGTTCATGCTTTGTGGGCTAAACACGTTGCGAGTATATATCAACGGGTTCGATACAATAACTTTTTTAGTGCGCAGAAGCGCTTTGAAACTTGAGAAAGATAATTTGGTTCTTGTTTACTTTACAGTTCAACCCCGTTTCTGCGTATATCTTCGTCTCTTCAAAAGAACCATTTGAACAATGAAGCATTCGCATAACGAAGCATTCTGATAACATAGCATTCTCAAAACAATTCATTTGATTTGGAGCATATTCGTTCCTAACAGAACGCTTAGGTTGAAGTTCGTCAAAATAAGAGGACACCGCATCCGGCAGTGTTATCGATATCAAAGCATAAACAAAAAACTGCAGTCTCACATCGGAAAGTGGCACATCCTAGGTATAGAAATGTAATCGTTCACCACATCGTTGCGCACGTTTTTAATATTTACGTCGCTTATGGACCAGCATGTAAATTCAGCTAGCTAACGGGAAAGCTAAAGAGCGGCCTTGCTCCAAGTTGCAGTAAGAGGAAATACCGAACGAAGGACCCGGATTAGTTGATTCGTTCCCCCTAAACCACATGTTTTCGGCCACATAGCGACATCTGGATATGACCGGTTTAGCCATCGATGGGCTTAGCCAATATTGGCTTAGCTGCCCTTTTCAGTGCTAATGCGTGTCGACGCCTGACCTTACCCGAGAAGGATGGATAGGCAAACCCGGAATGCAAGAACAGCCAAGAAGTTTAGTTTATAAATATCAACAGATTTAATAAATTAATATTGTTTCCGTCACCCGTGTGGAGACTGAAACCGACAATACGAAAACCCAAGCCCAACCTCTCACGGGTTGTAAAAGCAATGAATGTGGAGAAGAAAAATCCCATTAACACTTTTCTCTGTCTTATTTTGTGTTGGGGCACTCAAGAGTGATTTACTTGGAAATAAAATATCGGAAACATAAAAAACAAATAAGTGAAAAAAAAAAAAAACAGTTTGTCGCCGCTGCCAGCCGCTGCGGCGCTAATTTTGGCTTTAATTTTCCAACTAACTTATGGCGCCCCCTTCCGGAAGGAGAGCTACAATAATGGTGGTGTCAGTCCTACGCAGATTGCTAGGGCTGCTTTGAGATTGTGTCGGGCAGCGCCTCGGGCCGCATAATATGCGTCGCGTTTGTTGTGTCGGTGCAATTTGTACCTTACGCCTTTGACAGATCCGACAGGGCTTCAAAATGGCAACTCCAAGCACTTCCACCACGTTAAAGCGTATCAGGATGGTGAACGCCGTCTTGTGTGTGTTGGGCATCCTCATTTCGGGCTACGCTTATCGTGTGGAGACGCGCAAAGAACACGACAGAAGCTACCAAGCGATGTGCGATATCAACCAGCACATGAGCTGTTCCAGGGTGTTTACATCAAGGTAAATAGGTTTCGTTGGTTCAAGTACCATTGACGATCCTCTGACGGTGATAACGGCGTGTACGCCGGGAAAAAAAATAAAAAAATAAGCAAAACACTGCGACGCCAATGGCCGTGATGCGGCCGCGCGTGAAGCTTCTAAACAAAAACATGCATTTTGGAGTAACTTCGCTTACTTGAGGGGCTCGTTTTCAAAATATGATCCTACTCAATCCTTCTCGCAGGTATGGAAGAGGATTCGGGTTATTGGGCCACATCGTTGGATCTGATTCCGTTTACAATCAACCCAACAGCGTGTTTGGTGTGCTCTTCTACCTCTCCGTCCTCGTGTTTGGTAAAAGCCATGTTCATCATTCTGGTTTTATATACATATAAATTAATATATCTAAAATTTGCCTATGTATTTATTTTTGTTTTGTTCATTTTAGGTGCACTGGACGGAAGAACTCCGGCGAAATTACATCTCGTGCTCAGCGTCATATCTAACATTGGGTCTGTGTATCTCGCGTGTATCCTGTATTTTGTCCTGCACGATTTCTGCGTCGTGTGCGTCACCATGTATGTGATCAACGCCCTGCTGCTGACATGCAGCGTGCTGCGCCTCAAGCACGATTCTGCGCCGCCGGCCAAGGCAAAACGCAGCTAATGACGTGTACAAGGTCAGCGCGTTTCCGACCGGAACACGAGGAATTCTTCCTGATACTATTTTTGTAATAACATTTTGCGTCTCTTCTTGTACGGCACGTGCGTATACAGCCCATTGAATATCGTCGGAAGTCGCAGTCGGAGAGAGATATCGGGTTAACAAACATCAAGTCTACTTCAGTCTCGGTCCAATCGACGGTGTTGCTCGCATTCCCTTCCTAGCCAGACCCGTATGCTAAACGACTAGGATGTTCGCCAACTTCCTATCTAGATTTTTTTTTTCTTATATATACACAAAAAGGTTGAAAGTAGCGATGTGGTCAATTCTGCTCACTGCTTCAGCAATTTGACACATTTTTGGAGGCTGTGTGACCTCGTTGTGTGCAACTGTAAGAACCTTCTCGTTATGATTATGATGCAATTAAATGCAAAGGTGCAAGCGAGCTGGACAAGAATGATGAAAATTAACCCTGGAGAATGGGAACAAGAGGGATAAAGGACAAACACAAATCTCCAAACACAATCACACCAGTAACCTAGCTGTGTTTGGAGATTTGTGTTTGTCCTTTGACCCTCTTGTTCCCCTTCTCCAGGGTTTATTTTCATCATCCTTCTCGTTACGTCTGAAATGCCTGAGTGTAGCATATGTCATTCTCGAACAATGTTCAGGTGGCTTCTTTTTTCAGATGTATGTCTCATCACCAATGAAATGTGGAATGCTACCGTAGCAGCTTGGGCGAGTTGGTTGCACATTATTGCATCGACCAAGTGTAAATCAGGTATCGATAACTCAAGATATTTTATGTGCAGTTTAGTTTACGTTCGTCTCAAACAGTTGGTATATTTTCTGGGCATATAGGTGTATAACCAACGTTTATCAATGTTGTGCACAGAAATGATTCATAGTATATTTTGTTTATTTGTATATATTGAAAAGGCAACGAAATGTTATATTTGTCCAGTAGTGGTTGTTCCACTGGTGGCGTTTACAGAAACTCGTGTTTTGTGCAATCACCTTCTGATTTGTTACGGCCTAGGATTCAAGATGCTAGTCTTGCATACATATTTTCGCGGCAGTTTGCACTGCAACCGAAATTAAGAAATAAAACACCACATTCATGAACTTCTTGGGAATTTTTATTGACTTCAGTCCAGAAAGAACTGCCATGTTCATTTGGTGCTCAGCATGCCAGATCAGAATGGTAGCTTTAATGGGTTTGGTGTCATTGCAGTTACATGACATGAATAAAAAAGAATGAAATGGCTCTGTACTGCTTTCTTTGTTAAACAATACCATTACGGATTATAGGGAACCCGTTAAGCAGCAAAAGTATTAGTACCCTTAGTACAACCCCCCCCCCCCCCCCCCCCCGGCCCCCTAACTTTACCTTGCCCTATAACTGCATTCAATGCGTAAATTTTTCACCATTTATTTCTCCTAATGGCGCGTTTAGAACACTTGTATTGGCTCAGCTTAGCTTTTTCCAGGAGTAGTTTGTAATTGTCAATAATGAGTTCAGATGCACTTGCGACGAAAACGAGTGAATCATTGCAGTGAGCTATAATGTGCTGCTGATAATATTGAAAAAGTGCAGAGGTAGCTACCATACGCAAAGGTCATTCGACCTCGCCATCTCGCCGCGAGTGCGTTTTTTCAACCTCGAGGGACGTGTACACTATCTGATCAACCGGTTCCGGTCACCTTGAGTACGTGATTGGCTTATGTACGTGCGTTAGGAAAGATCTGGCAGCTCTTTTCGCGCGTTCCGTTCGACGTGTATCCATTCCGGTGGGCATTTTCCTGATAAGCCCCGCATGCTCGCACTGTATTGCGCTAGCGGCCGATTTCTGCCCATTTCTCGGCGGAAATATGAACCATTGTTAGCAATGCCTATGCCCATTTTAGCGACGTGTGGGCTTGCCTGCTAACTCCACACTAAAGCCACTAAATGAGATTTGATTTAGAGTGTCTGCACACTATACCCCGATATTGAGGTGGTCGCCGCCATCTTGGTGCTTAGTACAGAGCAGGCGCAACTGCCGATCGTCATGATTCAAAAGTGCGACTTCCTCGGAATTAGATGTTAGGAAGCTCATATAATATTGCTTTGCCCTGTCGCGAACTGTTTAAACATTTGTGCAGGACGGAAAAGCGTTTCCTGTCATTTCAGATAACTGGCAACAATAACTTTAAGCCCCAAGATGGGCAAGTGTCGTTATACTTTGAAGCGTTGCTTATTTACTGGCCTCACGCAAAGAAAGCGTTTCCGCCCTATGTTCCGCCTATGTATAGACGATTGCGAGCAAGCCGACTAGCCGCCGCCTGCTAAATTACCCAAGCATCAAGGAGCATGCAGGGAATGTAGTTACACGGGCTGCGCTCGCTCGCCTTGCCTGTATTAACGATTTTAAAGAAATCGTAACAAAAAGGCTTTTGCGGACGCACGTGCGAACTGCCACTTTGTTTTCGATGATTGCTCAAAAAAAAACAAAAAAACGCTTCTGCCAACGCCAGCACGCGCAGCGCGTGTAACTACGTTCCCTGCGTGCTTCTTGATGCTTGGGTAAGTTGGCAATGAGTCTGTCGCAAACTTGCCAAAGCTATGTTCATCCGCAAGCTGCACGTGCTTGCGCGCATGGGGCACCAGTCGGGGCACCATGCTTGCAATTGTCCATGACTATACTTGAAAGTTGGAGACAACTTTTCGGGTAATGAAGCCAAAATTGTGGGTACCCATGTGCTCGCGCATTTTGAGCGTCTACCAAAGTCGTGCACGCGCAATCTTCATTTCTAGGATGAAGGAGAAAAAAAAGGTTCCATTTCGATTTGGATGAGCATCACACCGGCTTGCGGTCGCTTATTCCTACTACGTGGTGCACGTTTAAAGACCCCAGGCTAGCGGTTGTACCGAACTGGCTAGGTTGCTCATCTATACCTGTAGCTTCCAACTATATAAACATACACTTTTTTTCTTCTTTTTTTTTGTCGCGAGTGCGTGGCTTTGTTTTGCGACTCATTTACACGTGTAGCGATGTACGCCAGGTATGAAACGGAGTAGAGAATTGCATGGTTCTATGGTGTAGGTTGCTCCGCGCCATTGTGTATCAATCGGCTCGTGAATTCTGAGAGCTTTCTTGCCGGGGCTTCTATCCTTAAAAATATAAATTTTCGGGCATTTATTCTTTGCCAATGTAAAAAAGAAGCAAAAAAAAAGAAAAGGAAACATGCATGAGGAAATACAGCAGACGCGTGGAATTTTTCCGTGTATGCTCGCGCGCACCGACGATACCGAGCGCAACCGGGCTATACCGAGAGACACGTGTGCAGAGCGAAAACGTGCATTCCGAAGGACAACACCAGTCGGGACTCGGAACCGATGCAGAAAAAACGGGCACACGCCACGGTCTACGGTAAGCACTCGGGCAGCGACTGGGGCAGGTCAAGGAGTCCCGCCCTCGCGATGGCGAGCATGGCGAGGCGGGTTCGGCTCGCCGGCGTCATCTGCTGTCTCCTGGGGCTCACAATATCCGTGTACGAGCTGCAGGAAGACATGAGCCGATATCTCTGGCGGGATGATCCGCCACCGTACGTCGATGACGAAGGTCCCGGTCTATTTAGTTCCTCGTAAGTACCGGCGACTGCACGTCCCGCGCTCAGTTGGACCATGGTGTTTGTTGAGAATGAGCTTCCAGAATATGTAGTTCGCGGGTAACGCGCCACAAAGCTGCCAAATTTACAGTTGTGACTGCGCTCAATTAACTCTCACGGGATAAATATTTCAAACGTTTTGTAATTTTTCTTTGTTGTGGAGTTTGGCGAGTTAATGATATTTGGGGATTGTGTGGATACAGCGCGTAGTTGGTCTGCCACTTCAAAGTTGCGACGAGTGACTAGCTGTAGACGAGCAATTTAGCCAGTGCAGTACAACCGCTAGCCTGGGGTCTTTAACGTGCACCACGCAGTAGTGATACACGACCGCGCGCCTTTACGACGCTCATCCAGAACGGACAGGATTGGGGATTGAGCCCAGGATCCCTGGGTTCTGCAGCGCCAGCCTTCGCTCCACGTGCTCCGAGCCGGTGTGCGCTAACCCACTCGGCCACCGATCCCCCCCTTGGGCAAGTTATAATTTCGGATGAATGAAAGCAACGTAAAGGACGAGAACAGGACGTACTATCTTTCCTTCTAGTACAATATAATGTCTATTGCCAGAGCCTTCTAACAAACCATGCATAAAAAAATTATCGTTTTTTTATTGCTTTTTTTTTCATATATATATATATTTTTTTTTTCAACGAGTCATTCAACATCAAAATGCAAGGGAATGACAGATGCATAAGTGTCCCAACAGTTCATTTAACAGACAAAGAATATTAATTCCTTCTTGAGAGGCCCGGGTGTAGAAATGTTTTGTTTCAATAAACAGTCAGTTGAAAGTAGCGCCTAGGTTTGTGTCTCTTACTTTCTGTCCCTGTCTTGAGTCACTTATAGTCAAAAGTAACTATGTACTATCTATACTCTGTTTCATACTTAGCGTGATACGCTGTCAAAGCTACTGGCGCGAGCGCGTGGCTTCATCTATGGTATTGTTTGCGCGAGACCGCGTGCGAATAATCAACGAGATCAAGCCCCACGCTCGCGCCAGTAGCTTTGACAACGTTGCACGCTAAGTATGAAACAGAGTATAGCCCATCCGTCATTACACTATGAGGGTGCTTCGTTTCACCTTTACATGGATTAACCGCAAAGGCTACAAGCGCGAGTGAGTGCGCACCTTTGACTGGTCCTCCATGTGCCCACTGATGAGTGTTCGCCCAGGCGAGGCACGGTCAGAAACAGAAAGAGCTCGAGCTTCTAGCCTTCTTTTTTTTTTATTTTTTCGGAAATCTTAACGTGAAACAAAGTATAGGTCGACACCCCAGCCCATAGCTTTCACAGTAGCGTTTAGCCCCTCAACTGGCAGCCACACCAAGCGGCTATGCAGCTTCTCCATTGGTATCCCATGCATGAGCCCACGCATGCAAGCCAGTGCAACAACCGCATAAGCGTATCTTTGGCAGCTATCACACGTGTTTGCCACAGGGGCAGCGTTGGCCAGGTGCTCGGCTTGCAATCGTGTTCTGACCAGCGTCCTTTTCAGAGTTTCTGCGTTGGTGCGCGGATTAATCGATGAGAAAAGCGAACAAATTAGAATGGATGTCTATCAAAGCCGCGTGCTGGGGTTCACAGGGCACGTGCTGTGCTCCGGTCATTTGTTGTAGCTCGACTGTTTCCGACATTGCAGCGGTTGGATACGAGCCCCAATTTCAATGAATGTTCTCTAGGGCATTGATCGCGAGTTCACAACATACAACCAAGCCCCGGGTCCAGCGTCCCCATGCACAAGGCTCGTGTCGAGTTAAGTCGCATGACTATTGCCAGCCAGGGATGATCCCTACGACCGGTGGCAGTCAGTTGGTCGAATGGCATTTCATCGACTTGCGACGTTTCATCGACAGTTCGTTTCATCGAAAGGCTTCCCGCGTTCGTTTCATCGACACACCAAGCGACTTTTTTGTCGAAAACAACACTGTCACCCTGTTGTTTTCGCAACAAACGTTCTGCCTCACCTGGTTTACGGGGGACAGAGAGGAGGGGGTGAGTGAGAGAGAAGGGGAGAAAAAAGAGGGGGAGAGGCTTGGGTGAACCAACACGCCTCAGTGAAACACGCGCTAGCTTTTAGCGGCGTCCAGACTTCATTACGCACTTAGTAAAAATATATATATGTTGTCGACGAAGCAGGAGCATCTGTCCACGAAACGCAACGGTGTTAACGTAACGTGGGTAAATGAAGCGTGTGTCTATGAAAAGTTGTCCATGAAATGTGTTTCCACGAAACGTGTTTCGACGAAACGAAACGGGGCTTTTGTCTGCGAAATTAATCCACAAAGAAGCTTCTACTTCAGAAGGTTGCGCGCAAGTTGCGACAAACTCGTGTCGCAGTACGCTTGTGTAAAGTGTGCACACGCAGGTTTATCTATAGGATTGCCAATCCACCATGTTAGAAATAGTAGCTGGCTCCACCTGGCAGAAAATGGGGTTCGAGAATTCCGAGGTTCTAACAATGTGCGGATCAGAGAGGAGAGGAAAGAAGCGTCACAAAACTAACTTTTGAACCCCGCTCAAAAAAAAAACAAAAAAACCAAGGACACTTCAGCACTTCTTATGAGTTGTGAATGCGAAAGCATGAATGTCGTTCTTCCGCTCCCTTAGTTCGTCTGCGTA